AGGAAGAAGAAGAAGAAGAAGAAGAAGAAGAAGAAGAAGAAGAAGAAGAAGAAGAAGAAGAAGAAGAAGAAGAAGAAGAAGAAGAAGAAGAAGAACCGTTGAAAAGAAGATAAAGGAATAAAGGATGTTTGTCCTCCTGGGAACCAAGACAAACATTTATGAAACACTAGAGCTACCAAGAAGATGGAATTACTGACAATTGACTCCCTGGCTGGATCTCTGTGAATACTAATTCTGGAGATTCCTTATAGAGGAGCATATTCAGGGATTCTTAGGGAAGAGTTCTGGAACTCCAAAGCCATGTAGTGTAAGTGGTTTTTGATCTCTTTCTCCAACTGTGGAGGCTAAGAAGTGGGTGTTCCACAAATTTCTTTTGACAATTATGAGTCATTTCTGGCTTAGAGACTTAGGATGGTTAGAGACCACTGGAGCAGCCCCTCCAATGGAGCATAAAGGATCTGGCATTCCTAGGCACCAGCTGGCCCAGCTTTCCAGTGCCCTCACAGCAGATAGCAAAGGATCTAAGCTTCATACAGTAGTGTGAAAGATGAGCTGAGGATGTGTAGACAATTTCTGAACCAATAAATGGGATGAACAATCCAAAGAAATAAAAGAAGAGATGTCAGCTTCTCAAGGGGCTAGCTTCATGACTAAAAAGGTTGGAGAAAAGGCAAATGTCATCCCCAGAAAACTAAGCACACGAGTTGGCTGTGAACTTTCATTCCGACAGACATCACCAGCATCAACAAGAGCCAGACTAACCTAAAGGTTCACTTGGTGTACCACGTAGGAGCCATCACATAAACAAAGACTTCTCCATTTCCTACCAAATGGCCCACAGAATTGCAAAGTCAGTGCCTAAGAATGGAGTCAGAGGTCGCAGACTCAGACAAAGGTCTTAGTCTTTGTATATTCAACTGTGATGGCCACAGTGGGAAAGAGGATGAAACTGACCTGACAGTAAGAAGTAAGCTTTCAAATAAACACCTTAAAGTGTGCACTGGAAAGATCAAGATTCTATGAAATAAAACCATTACTTACATATGTCACTGAAGAGATACCTATACATCTAGAAACTGAAACGTTGCATCCTATATCAGCTTACTTTCATATATGTAATTTCCATTTTCTCCTTATATTAGACTATTTAGCATAATTCCTCTTTTAGTCAGTGAATATGACTTATTATCACTCAAAAAAGTGCACAGAATATATGAGTCAATAAGAATAAAAATTAGCATGCTGCACCAGCCCTGTCCCTGGGTGCGCTGAGCCAGCCACCAAGTCCAGGCATAGTGGCGCATACCTTTAATCCCAGTGCTTGGGAGGCTGAAAACAGGAGGATCACTACAAATCTGATCTGTGTAATAAGACCCTGTATGCCTTCTACTAAATACATTACAAAAGATAAAAGTTAGTTTAAAGATGGATATTGATTTGGATCAAAATACTCAAGTTTTAGGGCCAGCCAAATAGCTCAATGGATTAAAATGCCTACAAGCAGGCACATGGTCCTGGGGTTCAATCACTGGGCCTGCAGTGCCGGCCCCACCCCCGGAGTGCACTGAGACTGCAATTGAGAGTGGGAGTGGTGGCACACGCCTATAATACCAGCTCTTGGGAGACTGTAAACAGGAGAATCACGATGAGTCTGATCTAGTAGTGAGACCCTGAATACCCTGCAGACCCTTCCCTAAAATACAAAAAAAAAAAAAAAAAAAAATACCCAAGTGCTTTTTATTTTCAGTTTTTTGTTTTGTTTTCTCGAGGACTGTTTCCTGCATCGTTTATCTCCTCAGTCACTGCCCAAAGGATTCTGCAAAGTTGTGGGAATGTGCAGGTGCAGGCACAAGCCCAGCTTCTCCTCCAACATTGTGGAAAGGGATTGTATATCACGGGGAAGAGCCCTATGCTCCCCTAGGCCGCCTGGACAGAGCCTGGGGAGAGTGACTTCCTGGGTATCCATGTTGGCATTTTCAGTTTTTAAAAAAGTTACTAAAATATGTCATCTTAAATGATCACATTCATAATAAATACTGTATTTTTAAAAAAACACATTCATAATAAAAGTAAAATTAAGTAATGAAATAATGTTTAAAATATTGTTTCTTGACCACATTCTTGCAAAAATCATTTGTGCTTAGGTATAATTAATTAGCTACCAGAGAATAAACAAAATTGTAAGCAAAGTAAAATGTATTTATGAACACTCTCAGCATCTTTCATCTCTGCACTGATATATTTTCAATAGTTTTCAAGAAACTAGAAGCAAAAAAGCCCATAATCTCTCTCCTGGGGCATCTCAATTTCCCTCTGAATGCTTATTCCATTCCTGGATCTTCACAGAAGAGAATCCTAATCTTCTGTAGTTTATACTGGCTCTGAAATTTGCTATAACTCTTAGTATTCTGACTCTTTGACCTCAAGTTCCATGACTAACTGGCAATTTTCCTTTGTGTAGCTTTGTTCAAACAAACAAATGAAAGAATTGTATTGGTTTGTGGTTTTTGTCCAGAACATGTGACAACAGCCAAAGCAGAGATTCACTGCCCTTGGGCCTTTTTGTGCCATGGTATTTACATACAGAAAGTGGGTTCTCATTGAAGTCTAGTTTAGGGTCCACAATGGACAATCATGTGGTGTCTGAGTCAAAGGATTTTGACTTTTATTTCATCATGCCTACTTTTATTACTTGTTTTCTTACAAATAAACTAGGCTTTTTTAAAAAAATGTATTTTATTGCCTCAATTTGAGGCAGAAATGTAAACCTTTTATCACAAGATTTTTCTGTCCTATCTTGGACCATGGAATCACTGGGGTCATCAAAGATCTCAATGATCTTACAAGCCTCTCATCTCATGTGTCCTCATTTACTTGCCCCCAAAACTTTGCCAGAGGTTTAAAATCTCAAAACTGCAAATGAACTGGTAATCCATAATCGAATGGAAAATACAAACATTTTCACACAAGAGACAAAATGCATTTTGGTCACCTGAAGGCTCGGTACAGTTGCCTTAACACTGGAAACCACTTCCCTGATGGAAAAGAGAGCTCATAACCACAAAGAAAATCCAAGCCTGAAGAAAATGCTTTCTGTCATCCAACCCAACCACACCTTCTCTTGTTCTTTACCCAAAGGAGATGAAAAATAATCTTTCTTGAATGATCCAATAGAAAAGCAACACTACCTTTCTTACATAGCTACCGCTCACTAAATGGACACCAAGTTCAAGCCTTTTGGTTAAATGTTGCTGAATGTGCTCAAAATGTGGAGGATTTAAAGAACCCAAATTTCCTCTTTATCAAAAGGCACTCAAGATCAGCTATTAGGTGTGTATGTCTATACCTTTCAGTTACATCACTTTTGATTTATATACCACCCTTACTCTAACCTCAAAAAGCACTTAAAAACAGGACAGCAAGAACTTGCACCTCCTACATAGAAAATTACATATTTTGTTTCCATACAATTGGTCAAATTATAATATATCAAATAAATCTTTAAAAATATTTTTATTCCAGAGGACCCAATACTATTATGGGCTACTGGACTCTTTTAGAATATTTTGCTGAGCTTATACAACTATAATATTCAAATAATGGAACTTAACAAAAAAAGGGTATACAGATGAATGTCTATTTTGTATCTGTGCATTCAAAGTGGTTGGGATAGATATATAGTTACATTCTCTTAATGAATAGAATGATTTGTTCTAATGGTGTTTGTAAATAGGATCTCAAGTCTGCATCTTGTACAGCAATTAACCACTAAGAAGAATGTATGCAGTGTGTTAATTATTGAAACTGTCCTACCAATTTGATTTGAAACTGTCTCATTGCTATTTGTTTATCAATAAAATTATGGAAAAAATATTTTTATTCTTCTACTTTAAGAAAAAAAAGTAATAATTCTATAGAATTAACCATGATATGTTTATTCCAATAGTACTTCTCAATTGACACACAGACTGAATATGTTTCAAAAGAATAGTAAAGATAATATTAAAGAAAATATATCTGCATGAAAGAGATCTTGTATTTACATTTATAGGACAGGAAGATGTGTCACTTTTTTTTACAATGACTCTTAGAATTAGCTAAGAGTTTTCTTTTTTTCCTCATAGAATATGGTATAATTCCAAAAGAACATTCAGACTATCCACTAGATATCCACCAAAGTGCTACTAAAAATTTTCCTTACAGATTTAAAGAATTGTGATTTGGGAAGTTTTAATACCTTGGAAAAGGGAACAATTGAATTTGTCTTTCCCAGGGCCAGGAATTGGCTCAATGAAATAAGCACTTCCAGGACAGGCGCAAGGGCCTGAGTTCAATCCCTATTTCCACCAAAAAAAAAAAAAAAAATCCCTGCTCCTGGACAGGAAGAACCAACATCGTGAAGATGGCCATACTCCCAAAATTATTGTACAGATTTAATGTAATCCGTATCAAACTACCACCAACATACCTCACAGACCTAGAGAAATCATTCCTGAAATTTATTTGGAATGAGAAAAGACCTAGAATAGCAAAGGCTATCCTGGCCAAAAAAAGACAAGGCAGAAAGAATTGCATTTCCTGACTTGAAATTATATTACAAAGCAACTGTGGTAAAATCAGCCTGGTACTGCCAACAAAATAGACGTGAGGATCAATGGAGTATGTTAGAAGATGCTGAAGCCTCTACAAACACATTTAGCCACCTGATCTTTGACAAAGGGGCCAAACATGCTCACTGGAAGGAAGATAGCCCGATTAACAAATGGTGCTGGAAAAACTGGCTCTCTACATGCCGAAAACTAAAAACTTGACCCAGGTCTATCACCCTGCACTAAGCTAAAGTCAAGATGGATTAAAGATCTAAACATTAAAACAAAAACACTAAATCTCCTGGAAGAGAAAGTAGGAAGAACACTTGAAGGCACAGGAGTAGGCAGAGTTCATGAACAAAAATCAAATAACACAGTAACACTTGAAAGAATTAACAACTGGGACCTCCTTTTACTGAGAAGTTTTTTCATGTCAAAAGAAATTACCAACAAGGTCAAAAGACAACTCACAAATTTGGGAAAAAATCTTGACTAATAAGTACTCAGACAAAGAAATTTATAAAGAACTAAAAACTATTAGGACTCCAAAATTTAAAGACCCAATCCAGTAATGGGTATCTGAGATGAACACTCACTTCTCAGAGGATGAAATTAAAGAAGCGAATAAATACATGAAAAAATGCTCCACATCAATAGCCATTCATGAAATGCAAATTAAAACAACATTGAGATACCATCTCTCCCCAGAAAGAATGGCTATCATAAAGAAATCAACAAGCAACAAATGTTGGAGAGGTTGTGGGGAAAAGGGAACCCTTCTCCACTGCTGGTGGGAATGTAGATTGGACCAAGCATTATGGAAATCAGTGTGGAGACTCCTTAAAAAACTAGGACTGGGACTTATGTACAAACATGAGAAGTATATAATTCTTTATGCCTATTTTTAAAATATATCCTAATTTTTAAATGTTTTTATCATATTCTGTATGGACTTAAAGTTCAACATATCAATACTTGATAAAAAAATACCTGTTCCATATTATGCCTAAGATGTTTGATATGCAGACAGATAGTGAGGTTAAGCTTAACAGCCTAAGATGTTTGATAATAACAACAAGCTTGTCTTCTGGATGGTTAACAACCTAAGTTTGCAAACCAAAATTAGAGAAAAAGGAGGGCTGCAAGGAAAGCCAACATTTTGGCCTAACCTTCTAAGGTCAATTAAGACTCAGGACATATGGGAACTTGTACTGTGACGTCATTTAACTCGGTAGTGCCCCAAATTTTCTGATCAAGTAGATTATGGGGTCAAAGAGGAAAGTGATCGATGATGTAGAGTGTGCCTAAGGAGAGTCACATGGAGAGAAAATATTCTCTCAGGCTTTCACAGAGAACACATTGGCCAAGCAATGGCCGTGACTCATCCACATGGCTGACACTGACAAAGGTTCTACAATCTGAGGTACAGGATCTCAGGATAAATCCTGAGGGGATTTCACTGAGCTTATCAGATCCAAAAGCTACAACTCTTATTGCATAGGTTCTGCTTTACCTTGGTCTTAACCATCCAGAAGAAAAGTATGAAAACGAAATATAAGAAATAAAGCCATGCTGTTACGTTGAGCTATGGGGGACTCAGGTCAACAATTTCTGACAGTGCCAGTTAAGTGGAAGACCCAATACTATTATGGGCTATTGGACTCTTTTAGAATATTTTGCTGAGTTTACACACATATAATATTCAAATAATGGAACTTAACCAAAAAAAGGGTATACAGATGAATGTCCATTTTGTATCTGTGTATTCAAAGTGGTTGGGATAGATATATAGTTACATTCTGTTAATGAATAGAATGATTTGTTCTAATGGTGTTTGTAAATAGGATATCAAGTCCGCATCTTGTACAGCAATTAACCACTAAGAAGAATGTATGCAGTGTGTTAATTATTGAAACTGTCCTACTGATTTGATTTGAAACTGTCTCATTGCTAATTGTTTATCAATAAAACTATCGCAAAAAAAAAAAAAAACTAGGACTGGAAATCCCATTCAAACCAGATATTCCCCTACTGGGAATTTTCCCAGAGGAACTGAAAACATCACATCTTAGTGATATATGTGTACCTATGTTTATAGCAGCACAATTTGTGATAGCCAAATCTTGGAAACAATCAAAATGCCCCTCACCTGAGGAATGCATGAAAAACATGTGGTATTTTTATACAATGGAGTATGATTCAGCTATAAAGAATGATAAACTCAAAGCTTTTATTTTTAAGTAGGTGCCACTTGAAGATATACTCAAAAGGGAAATAAACCAGACCCACATGTGTAAATATCACCTAGTCTCCCTAGTATAAGAACTCAAAAGAAGAAATACATATAGAAAGACATAACACAAATAAAAGGAAAGTGAGAAT